CCCCAACCCACTGCCCTGACCCCCTGCTGCACCCTGCACCCCTCTTGCACCCCGACCCCCTGCCCTGAGCCCCCTGCCGCACTGTGGGAAGTGGATAAAGCACACGACCAATGTGGTTGCAAGCTGAACTCAAACTGACTCTTTATTACAAGCTTTCTTTTATACTCTTTCTTGCTGAACTCGAGCTGACTCAAACTGACTCAAGCTCTGTTTATTACAAGCTTTCTTTTATAGTCTTTCTTAACATTACATAACACAATTAGGCTATAATTACACAACTACCCATTGGACAAGAAGGAGAGTCATGTGTTCATCATATGTATAGCCCCACACCGATTGGTTCAGATGTTCCTTACATAAGGCCTTACATAAGGCCTCATCTTATATAACCACCAGGGGGCCTTACATAAGGCCTCATCTTATATAACCACCAGGGAGCCTTACATAAGGCCATGATTTATTGCCAGGCAAGTGTCCCATCGTGACCCTTACCCTCTCATGGGACTTTACATCCCCACACCGCACCCTGCACCCTGACCCCTTGCTGTACCCCTCACCCCTCCTGTACCCCACACCCGAACTCCCTGCCCTGAGCCCCCCACCACACCCCACATCCCTCCTGCACCCCCTGGGGGCAGGGAGGGGGCAGAGTTGGGGTGGAGATTTCGGGGAAGGGGTTGGAATGGGGGCAGGGAAGGGGTGGGAAGAGGCGGGGCCTCATGGAAAGGGTGGAGTGGGGGCAAGGCCGAGGGCGGCGGGGGGGTAGGTGTCAGTAATGCGGCCCTCGGGCCAATGTACTAGTCCTCATGTGGCCCTCATGGTCATTTGAGTTTGAGACCCCTGTCATACAGCATGTCAGGCAACTGGGAGTTTCTTCAGTTAGAACTTTGTTTCCCACAACATGAGATACACCTCCTATAAAGTTGCGACAAACTATCCGGATAAGGTGGAGAACAGACAGCCCTCTCAATTGTTAGTGAGGTTTCAGCTTTCATTTTAAAAAGTCTCCAGATGTTATGGTTGAAAATAAACATTCAAAATGTGAAAAAAGTGTATCCAAATCAGTGATTTCTGCCTAAAATTGGAGAGAGCTTGAAGCAATAGTTCTGAGGTGTGAAATGACCCATTCATTTCAGTGGTGTGCCCTCAGATGCCAATGGCGACATCTTAAATGTCACCACTGTTAACTATATCACTGCTCATTAAAGCATGTAAGAAAGGAAAGGAAATATCATATCATCATATTATGAAGATCTATACCAGCATTTCCCCAAGTGTGGGTGGGGAAGGAATACAGTGATATATAAATTAAGACAGGTTGTCATTTAATAACACAGGGTAGAGCTGTTGGGGAGTGACTGGTTTCATTTTTCATTAAAAAAAGGGAAGAAGGTGGATCTGGGGAACTACAGGCCAGTCAGCCTCACCTCAGACCGTGGAAAAATCATGGAGCAGGTCCTCAAGGAATCAATTCTGAAGCACTTAGAGGAGAGGAAATTGATCAGGAACAGTCAGCATGGATTCACCAAGGACAAGTCATGCCTGACTAACCTAATTGCCTTCTATGAGGATATAACTGGGTGTGTGGATGAGGGGAAAGCAGTGGATGTGTTATTCCTTGACTTTAGCAAAGCTTTTGATATGGTCTCGCACAGAATTCTTGACGGCAAGTTAAAGAAGTATGGAATGTATGAATGGACTATAAGGTGGATAGAAAGCTGGCTAGATCGTCGGGCTCAACGGGTAGTGATCAATGGCTCCATGTTTAGTTGGTAGCAGGTATCAAGCGGAGTGCCCCAAGGGTTGGTCCTAGGGCCGGTTTTGTTCAATATCTTCATTAATGATCTGGAGGATGGGGTGGACTGCACTCTCAGCAAGTTTGCAGATAATACTAAACTGGGAGGAGTGGTAGATACACTGGAGGGTTGGGATAGGATACAGAGGGACCTAGACAAATTAGAGGATTGGGCCAAAAAAACCTGATGAGGTTCAACAAGGTCAAGTGCAGAGTCCTGCACTTAAGACGGAAGAATCCCATGCACTGCTACAGACTAGGAACCGAATGGCTAGGCAGCAGTTCTGCAGAAAAGGACCTAAGGGTTACAGTGGACAAGAAGCTGGATATGAGTCAACAGTGTGCCCTTGTTGCCAAGAAGGCTAACGGCATTTTGGACTGTATAAGTAGGAGCATTGCCAACAGATCGAGGGACGTGATCATTCCCTTCTATTCGACATTGGTGAGGCCTCATCTGGAGTCCTGTGTCCAGTTTTGGGCCCCACACTACAAGAAGGATTGGAAAAATTGGAAAGAATCCAGCGGAGGGCAACAAAAATGATTAGGGGGCTGGAGCACATGACTTATGAGGAGAGGCTGAGGAAACTGGGACTGTTTAGTCTGCAGAAGAGAAGAATGAGGGGGGATTTGATAACTGCTTTCAACTACCTGAAAGGGGGTTCCAAAGAGGATGGATCTAGACTGTTCTCAGTGGTACCAGATGACAGAACAAGGAGTAATGGTCTCAAGTTGCAGTGGGGGAGGTTTAGGTTGGATATTAGGAAAAACTTTTTCACTAGGAGGGTGGTGAAGCACTGGAAAGGGTTACCTAGGGAGGTGGTGGAATCTCCTTCCTTAGAGGTTTTTAAGGTCAGGCTTGACAAAGCCCTGGCTGGGATGGTTTAGTTGGGAATTGGTCCTGCTTTAAGCAGGGGGTTGGACGAGATGACCAACCCTGATATTCTATGATTCTATGATTTTCCTTAAGTGTGGATTCAGCTTTCTAACGTTTGGGAAAATTCTGAGATGCTGAGAAACAGTATATTAGAGAGAGAGAGAGAGAGAGAGAGAGAGAGATGGACTAGCAATCTTTGTGTTTCAGGATATAAACCACATATTTGCCAAAATCAGGAAGGAATTTCCCCTCCAATTATATAGCATTGTGGAATTAAGCACATTAAGGCCATTTTAACTCTCCATCTAAAGCATTCTCCAGTCACTGTCAGAGAAGACTAGTGGATCATTGATCCATTATGGCATAAGAAACCACTACATTCTGTGATACAGGAGGGCCAGGGAGCAGTGGGAGAGTGGTAGAGGGGAAATATATAAACCCTAGGCTAATTAAGGCGTGGTTCCCTGTAGACTAGGGAGGGTTGATACAGGTTAATTGGAGCACCTGTAGTCAATTAAGGCCCTGTCAGGAACCTAATAAAACCCCCTGCTTCAGTAGTCAGGGAGGAGGAGGAAGGATAGAGGACTGGAGCTTGGAGGTGTGTTGTGAGATTTGAAAGACCAGAGAACCGAAGTAAGGGAGACCCTGCCCCGGCAGGGCAAGGAGACTCCCTCCCCCAATGTCTAAGGACCGAGGGTGACCCCACCCAAGGTGGAAGAGGGTAAGAAACCCGCAGGGCTTGAGAGGGGCTGGGACTCAGAACGAGGAGCAAACCCAGACCCCTCCCCCGCTTCCCTCCTCTACTACCTTCCTGGGTCACTAGCGGGGCCCTTGTTTCCCAAGAGCAGGGGCAAGTGATTGCGTCTTAGCCCCACCCCACCCCAAGAAAAGTGCGGGACCCACCATACGAACATCGGCCATCTTGTTACAATTCTTTATAGTGGCTGGAGGATATGGCAAACAAGAAACTGAAAATCAGATTTGAGAAGGAGTAGCAGCAGTATCTCAGATGAAAGCAATAGTGGTAACCCAAAAGTTTCACACTCCTCCTATTCTTCATATGTTCAGGGTTTGGAGAAATTACCGGAATAATTATCCTTTTTGTGAGAGGAGTACCAAAAACTTCCCACAAAAAAAATAACGGTATAAGTATCTACATTTGTTAGATATTATAGGCCACAAATTCAAAAATAGATATTATGCATATACGTCACATACAAAGTATGTGCCAGTGAGCACAAACAGACTTCTGTGTCTGCCTATTTTGCATGAATGAGAAAACAGGCAAATGTATGTGCAAGTGAGTGACTGCATGAATAACAGCATATTTCCTGCACACAATTACCGGTTTGTAGCAACAAATCAGTATTTTGTACATGTCATTTAAGGCACTGATGTTTGAAAAGGAAGTCTCAAATCTAATAGTACACATGATGGGTGCTTCACTACTGGAAATTCACTGGCGTTAGGCACCTAATTCCCCAGGTGCCTTTGAAAAATTCACCCTTAATGCACCTAACCACCATGCCACAAGTACCATATAAACACATGGATTACATGGTAACTAATCTCCTGAGTCTGCAAACAGCTATGCATTGCTTAAATGTACTCATATGAGAAAGTGACATTAATCAGTGGGACAATTTATATGCTTATATTTAAGCAACCACATAAGTGTTTGCAGAATCAGGACCTAATGGAGGATGATATAAAAATGAAAGTCAACAGGAGAAAATACAATACTCAAGTCCATTAAGTGTCCTGGAAATTATGATGCACTATATGATTTTCTTTTTTAAATATGTGTGAGTATATCTAAACTTTACCCAGCTGGGATGAAAATGTAATTCATTTATCATAATTACCCTGGGTCTGATTCAGATTTCCATTTGCACTATTGTAACTCCTGAGTAACATCGCTAACTTCAATGGAGTCACTCTGGATTTACACCAGTGAAACCAATATGAGAATATGGCTTTTTCCTGAGAATAAAGACATTCAATTGTGACCAGATTTCACTTTCATTTCATAAAGCTGACAGTTCTTTTCTAAGCTGAGGCCAACAGATTGGTTTCTATTGTGAACATGAGCCAAGAAATATTACATTTAATGAACCATTCCTTTGGCAGACACACTAACATTTTTGAATGCCTTGACCAGGTTTAGATTTCTTTTTTAAACAGATATTAAGAATATTTATATGTTAAACATATTCAGAAGAAATACCATACATTTGGCCTTTCAAAAGACACAATATTATATTAAAAAGGTAGTGCATTATCTTTGTTTCTTAAATGTACTGAAAAAAATGATAGTTGATATGCACTTACTTTGGCAGTCGCTTCTTTAATGGACATGCTCAGTGATTGTTCTTTTTCCTGAAGGCTAGAAGGATTAAAAGAAAAGAAAAATGTTGACCTTCTTTACTAACCATGGTATGTTACACAATCTATTTTTTCATAAATAAGTACACAAAGGCTTTAAGAGGATTCTTCCAAGCATAGGGGACCAATGTCAGGATAAAAGTCATATTTCTCTAAAATCTTCAGTTAGTCTGTGTTACTAATAACACTGCGCTGCAGATTATTAGAACTAAAAGATTTTTTTTCAGTCTAGTTTACTTGTTCTCAACTGATCCTATTTGTTTACTTTTACACTTTATTCAGCATGGATAGTAAAACTAGCCTACAATGTATTTCACCAATACGTTTTCATGTACCACATACTCAGTAATAATATCTATTATTATTTTAATTATTATCATCAGTAGTATTAATAATTTGTATTATTTGTAAAGAAGTAGCGCCCAGGAGCCCAAACCCTGGAACAGCATTGCACTGTGTGACGCACTGCACAAATACATAACAAAAAGAGAGACTCTGGCCTCAAAGAGCTTACAATATCGGTATTGCATTGTGTTCAGGTTTCCACACACTCTAGCTGAGGCCTCACTAGTGCTGAGTAGAGCAGGACAATTACCTCCTGGGTAACTGACACTTCTGTTATTACATCCCAAAATGATACTAGCCTTTTTCACAACTGCATCACATTCAATTTGTGATCCACTATAACCCCATGATCCTTTTCAACAGTACTAGTGGCTAGCCAGTTGCTCTCCATTTTGTTGTTGTGCATTTGATTTTTTCCTTCCTAAGTGTAGTATTTTGCACTTGTCTTTACTGCATTTCATCCGGTTGATTTCAGACCAAATAAGTAAATACCGACAGAGTTACCCTTCCACAATCTAAACTACAAAGAGGGTTTCCAGTTTTTAATTTGTTTTTGGTGTTTGTGGACAAATTATTATTCAGTTTCAGAACGAACTATAAAAACTAGTTTTCCATTTCTGATTTTGGTAGTTTAATCAAATGTTATAGCAGGAATCACCTGGTGCACAGTGGCCTCAACCAGCTCTACAGCATGCACAGGATCCTGCTGTATTTTGTAGACAACTTTAATAGGCACCACACACAATGGGGCTATGCAGCAAACAACACTGCAGGTAAAGAACTGGCCACTGGGCATCAGCAAAGGATATGCTCCTCCTTTTAGATGCGAAACAGTGCATCACTTTCCACTCTGCAAGATAGGACAGGATACTGCCCTGACCTGATGTTCATCTCTAAAGATGATACAGGTACGCTAATACCCCCATTACGGATTGTCCTTGATGACTTCCCAAACTGCCTACACAGACCAGTACTGACCATATTGGCATTCAAATTCCAGTTCTCTACTCAAAACCAGCGCTGCACTGGAAATTCAAAAAGCAGACTGGGCCACTTTCTCTATGACTGTGGAGAACACAATCTCCCACATTCCCCCAATGGCGAATACTTGTGACCATTTTACTACGCTCCTAATCTCCACTACAAAGAACATCATCTTCCAAGGACACGTCATCGTACACTCCTTGCTGGACTGCAGAAAGCCAAAAACTCCTCCACAAATATGAGTGCAGAGACCCTCCTACTGTCACTGGATGCAGCAAGGCAGAAACGGTGGCTTGGCTGTGTAGGTCTAAACTTCACACACTCAAGCAGATGCACCTGGAACTTGCTGAGACACCTGGGGGCTGCAAATCCCACATGTCACTAGGCCGCAAGTGAAAGCCAATGCCACTGGTGATAAACTTTTGTGGACATAAAAACAGCCAGTGGATAAACAGTATCGCAGACAAGTCCAGCATCAACTTTAGCAAGTGATGTCCACGTGCAATCCATCTTCCCAAGGGTCTGGACCATCCACAAGTTAGGATATCAATGCAGCCCGGAAATTCGGAAAGGCAGCAGGGAAAGATGGTATCTATCCTGATTTCCTATATCTGGGTCCACTGGCACAGAAATGAATGATAGAGCTTTTCACAAATATCCAGACCACCAGTGAAATCTCCTGCCTGTGGAGAGAAGCCAAGGACATTGCACCCCTAAAGCCTGGAAAACCTGCAGATTATCCTTCTAGTTATAGACCAATCTCCTTTCTGAACACCATCTACAAGGTGATGGAGTGTATGAGTCTGACCCAAATCAGGCCCACTGGGGACACCAGCCTACCTAAGGAACAAGCTGGTTTTCTTCTGCACAAAAGTTGCTGCGACCAGTTCCTGGCCCTCACTACAAGCATCAGTGCTGGATTCCAGCAAAAACTCAAGACCGGTACCGCTTTCATTGATCTGTCAGTAGCATATGAGACAGTCTGGAAGGACGGTCTGATACTGAAACCGACCAAAGTGATCCCCGTGCGCAGATTCTTAGGATGCTGAACACCACGCTTAGCAGCTGAAGGATGCACCATGTGCCTTGGAGGTCAAACCAGCAAGCCATGCACTTTGAATAATGGGCGACCACAAGGCCCTGTACTTGCTCCAACACTCTTCAATGTATACACAAGTGATATGCCTGAAACAATAGCACAGAAGTTTGTGCATTCTGATGATCTGGCACTCACAACCATTACCATTACATCTGACCTTAAGATCATGGAAGAGTACTTCCAAAAGTGGCACCTGAAACCAAATCCTAGCAAATCTGTAGTCTACACCTTCCACTTGACAATAGACTTGCACAAAACACTCTGTCGAGTTTATGGTGAAACCGTGCGTTATAACCCAAAGCCAACATATCTTAGTGTCATTCTTGACTGCACACTGACCTTTCATGAGCACCTCAAAAAAGTAGCCTCCAAAGTGAAGACTCACATCAATATTATTCGAAAGTTAGCAGGAACAAACTGGGGAACAACTGCCCCGGTGCTATGAACGTCAGCCTTGGCCCTGGTGTACTCAGTTGCAGAGTACTGTGTGCCAGTGTGGACAAGAAGCTGCCATACCCAACTTGTGGATAGGCAGCTGAATCAGACCATGCAAATCATCCTGGGAACTTTAAAATCAACACCTCTACCATGGCTTTTTAGATTAGCAAACATTGAACCTCCATCTATCCACTGAGATATAGCTACATCACAAGAACTTAAATGTGCTGAAGACTACTCAGAACTTCCCATCTGCCAGATTATAGATAACATACCCTAACAACAACTGAAATCACAAACACCACTATAGACCACCTGTGACCACCCCATGTCTCTGGATCCGGACAGGGAATGGCAATGTGTCTGGACCTCATCTACCATTCCAAACAAGCACTTGGTTACTGACCCAACAAGTTGCCATACAGACATTGGACCACACTGAAATGAATCCGAACAAACCATAGAAGATACAGCTACTTGATGCACAAGTGGAAAATCAAAGACTGCCCTTCGTACGACTGGTGAAAACAACCACTGAACACATCAAAATGTAGTGCCCCAAATATGGATTCAAAGGTGAATTGGATGATATCCACAATATCACAGAGGACGACTTGAAATGGCTTATGGACCTACAACTGCATCTACAGAACGTTGCTCTGCAGATGCCGTATGCCAGAGACAGAAAAGGAGGAATCACTTATGCATCTTAAAGAATATTCCATCATCTAATAAATGCACCACAACTGGAATGATACAACCATGTCCACTGGCTACAAACGGTCTTTCACCAAAAGAGGATTTTCCTCAGGTTTTTGAGTTCCCAGTTTGTAGCAGAAAGAAACAAGAGAATTTACATCAAGAGAAAACAAAAAGATTCAAAGCATGTGGTAAGACAACCCAGATCTTCAGCTATCGAGTATAACAGGAATGTGTCAGTGGATACTGAGCCTGTGAAGTTTTAATAACCCAGACCCATTCAGATGACAGAGGCCAGGAAATAAAATTCAGTCTCTTACCAGTACTCCTGTGTCTCACACTGTTACTACAAGAGTAGCACTCTGCCTGCTCAGAAGCTCACTCACACACTCTTCCTTTTGACTACCAGAGAGAACTTTTTATAGAGCTCCCTAATTTAGCACTAAGGTCTTAACTGGACCACTAGGCTATATTCTGATCCATTACCTCACTCTTTTCTAGCAGAACAGTTAAGAAGCAACTTAACTGCCTATCTGCTGATGCTCAGATAGGACCTCTGCATCCTATCATAGGACCATTTAAAAATTATTTTTACTATCCTATATAGTATAACACACACTGAGATTGCTAGGCTATTGACCCAACTGATCGAAAGACTGGAATGAGACAGGAATTCAATTAATACGAGATTTAGCTGACAAAATGCAGGAAAGGAAATGTTTTTGACTTTCACGCAATTGACGGCAATCTATATTTAGCATGCAATTTCTTCAGTTCATGTAGCTAGCCAGGTAGGTTCATTATTTAAACCTCCAGCAACAGACCTGGACACATTTGGGGGGATAAAATAAGGTGATCCTAAAAGAAAAGCAGCACAGATTTACAGAATGTATCTTGGGGCCTCCCCACATACACACAGTCTCCAGCTTAAGAAGCATGAGCGAAGGAATTAGATTACTGGATGATGAATGATGTAATATACTGGCAAACACATGTGATTCAGCCAGGGAACTTCAGGAAAGGCTGGGAATGCCACAGATTTAGAATATGTTACTGACTTGACACTTAACAGTAGACTATAGGAAAACTTAAAATTACCAAATGCTTCAATGGATGCAAACAAGCCAGTCACACATTAATACTCTGCACAGTTGACATGATTCAGAAAATAGATGACAGATAATATTTATGGATATTTAAAATAATTGTGAAACAGTCTGAGAAATCACCGGAAAACATCTTACAACATCTATGGTGAAGGATCCTAGAGAAGGAGCATAGTTTTGGAATAAGAGGAAAGGATAATCTTGTTTCTAAAGAAAAGAATTGGAAGTGTGGTTTGTGTTCGTGGCCCTGCCACAGACTTCCCATGTGAACTTTAGGGGCCCCTAAATATTATGATGTAACAGCTCATGCTTGATTGGTCTCATGAAGAA